ACAAAGATGGTGGCGCCCATAGCCACAAGATGGCGGCGCCCAGTCCCCTCAGCCCCTCCAGAGTCCCACAGTCCTTTCAGCCCAGCCAGGGGGTGGGCGGCACATGCACAGTGCGGCCAGACCTGCCCTCAGCCCCCCAGCCACCCAGGGTTGGCCTGAGGTGCAGGCAAGCCTCTAATGTAGGCTGCCCAGCCACCCAGGGCCACCCGAGGCTCAGGTAACCAGGGCTGGCCAAGGTTTGCACTGCTGATAGTGGCAGCAGCAGAGGTGTGATGGGGGCGTCACCTTCCCCTGATGGCCGGGTCACCTCCCGCCCCTGAGGGCTCCCAGACTGTGAGAGGGGGCATGCACTGGGCCTCTAGTCTATATATATATGTAAGGGTAATATGCAAAGTGTCCCCTTGGGAATTTGACCAGGAGACCGGGAGTTTGATCATTCACTATGATACGTGCTGATCACCAGGGGGTGGCACAGAACATGGCGGGTGATCAGCGGAGGTGGCAGCGAAGTTGCTGAGGGAGTGAGGAAAGGAGGAGGCAGGGAGGTGGGGAGGTAGGGAATCTGATTGTCCCTGATCACTGGTCAGGCCTAGAGACCCTGCCTGTGCACAAATTTCATACACTGGGCCTCTAGTTTGTATATAATAAAGCAGAGTTATCAATGTATTTCAAATGGTGTGATTGGATTTCAGGATTATTCTTTCTCGTACATCATACTTTTTTTTTTTTTACTACAAAAGGAATTCCTGTGTAAAAATTTAAGATATATACAAATCACAAGAAAAAAACTTAACCATTGATAATCACCCAAAGAAAGCATTGATCAACTTTTTAGAATATTCAAAGTATATTTTGTTATATTATCTTTTCATTAAGCTTTTTATTTTGAGAGACTTAATAGATTCATATGTAATTCTAGGAAACAATACAGACAGACCCTGGGTACCCTTTATCCAATTTACTCCAATGGTAACATCTTGCAAAACTATAGAAAAATATCAGAGGCAAGATATTAACATTAATACAGTCAAAATATAAAACATGTCTTTCACTACAAGAATCCTACAGATTGCCCTTTTATGAAGATTGAATCTGAGAATTCCCAAGTTCCATATTGAATAGCAAAACTATAGTAGAGCACCACACTATGACATGAATTTAATTCTATTGTAGATTATATTCACTCCCTTAACATCAAACATTTCCATTATTCCTCAACATCAGCAAGATAAATGACTTTTATATTATAAATAAGTAATCAGTCCTACCTCCACCTTCACAAAGGAGAGAAGGATCTATGATAAGCATAAAAATACTATGTGATAAAATATAAAAATAGCTAATATTTATTCAACACTTTCCATGTGCTAGAAGACAGTGTTATTTATTTAAAGAGCATTATATCTTTTGTTTCTCACAATCCATAATAGCTGGGGAAGAGACAATGGGAAGGACGGTAGCAAATTCACCTCTTGGCATTACAATAGGATTGCATTTATACCAAGACGGTATAAACTTATCTACAAAGAAACTGAGTCTATAGGGCATTGGTTAATTATGTAGTAGAAATACCAGGGAACACAGTGGAAAGCATGGGCAGTGGGAGAGGTTTGGGTTAAGGACAAATAAGTATAAAGCATTATGGAAATAAAGGGGAGGTAGAGGGAATTGATCAGAGTACTTACTGACACTGATGAAAAAAGGCATGAGAATCAGGGTGGCTTTAATTTCTGTTGCCTTTTAGAGAAAGGTCAAAGGACCTAGACTGCCCAGTCTAAAGCAAAGTCAGGTTTAATGGTCATCGTCTATGAGTTCCTGGACAGAACTAGCATCAAATATTGGCTCCACCATTCACTAGATGTGTGTGGTTGGGCTACTTACAGCACCTCCCAAAGCCTCAGCGCCCAGGTTTATAACACGAGTAGAATAATAGCAGTTATTGGGGAAACTTGTGTTGTCAATCTCTGTATCACTATTGAAGACCTGGAGGATTCTCATGCCTTCAGCAAATTGTGTGAAACCTCAGAGTCTCTATTTCTTGATTTTAAAGGTGGAATAGCAATGCCTTATGTGGGGGGGGGGGGGTTTGCAACAATTCATTGAGATATTGTTTATGAAGGTGATTGGAAAAATAAGAGGTAATGCTAATATTCTTTAATGACATTGAGCCACGATTGTGTTCTGTAACTGTGTCTAAATGCACCATAAAATGGTCCTTAAAGAAGACAGCCCCACTCTACTCTACTTTTTTCCTCTATCAGTCTGGGTTAATCTTGCACGCCAATTTAGCTTCCTTAATCCGCCTGGTCCCATTAAGAGATCATTCCTGTTAGTGTCCTCACCCCAGTTTGTGGGAGAGAAATCTTGTCCAGATTTTTCCTGATGGCCACAAAAGTCAAACTCTTATTCTCTTTGGCTTGCTCTAAAAATTCATATCCAGTCATTGCTCCAATTTTATTCACCAGGGATTCTGGATGCCATAGACTGATCTTGCAAGAGTTTTTGGCTTTGGGGCTCATCTTTGAAAAATCTATCCCTGGTGTACTTTTTTCTTCTCTGGGGTTTTAGGGGGGGATAAAAGCAATGAATTAGGCAGTGTATTAAGTTGAATACTGCCTCCCAAAAAGATGTGTCCAAGTCCGAACCTCCAGCACCTATGAGTGTAAACTTATTTTAAAATAGGGTCTTTGCAGATGCAATTCAATTCAGGATCTCAGCATGGGATTATTCTGGATTTATAGTGGGATCTAAATCTAATAACCAGTGTAGGTACTGGAGAAAGGAGAGAGGGATTTGACCACGGAGACCCAGAGGAGAATGCCATATGAAGATGGCGTCAGAGATTGCAGTGATGCCTCTACAAGCCAATGAATGCCAAGGATTCTCGCCATCCCTGAAAGCTAGGAGAGAGGCCAAGCAACACATTCTTCCTCATGCTTATTACTTATTATCGCTTAAACCAGATGTTTGAGACTGAGAGGAGCTGCTGCCCCCAGCCAGACCCAGGACCCTCAGCCAGTTTCCATCCCTGGAGGTGGCAGGGCCCAGGCCTGCTCTGCTGGCCCACGGGCTCCCAGTTGACCCACTGAAGCTGATTTTTTTTTCTTTTTCACTTCAGGCTCAGTTTCTTCTTAGATAAGTTTATACCTTCTTGGTATAAATGCAATCCTATGGTAACGCCAAAAGGTGAATTTGCTACCCTCCTTCCCATTGTCTCTTCCCCAGCTGTGTTATGGATTGTGAGAAACAAAAGATGTAATTAATTGTGTAATTAAATGTAAGCATCAGACCAGCAGAGCCTTTTACATCCTCCAGGTCTGGTTCGCCGTTAGCGTGGAAAAGCCCCGCGCCTCCCTCCCCTCCCCCTCCCCCTTATACCTTAAACTTACCGAAAACTCCTCCCTTTGTTTCCTTTCTGTTTCCCTTTTATTTTTCCCCCACCTTCCGTGCGTCTTTTATTTTTAAACTGACACAGTCCGCCAGTGCCTCAGCCAGCACTTTTGACACCCTGGCCCAGCGGCTCAGACTTCTGGGTCCCGCCCAGAAGGGGGCAGGGCGCTGCGTGCGCGCGCCTGGCGCGCTGGGCGGGCTCTGGGCGGGGCCCGCGAGCCACTCCGGGGAGGCGGGGAGGCGGGGCGGAGGGGCGGAGCGGGGCGGAGCGGGAGGCCTGCGGACCTGGAAATCGCACTTGCCCAGGCTCTAGCTGCCGCCTTCAGCAAGGGAGCCTGCAGGCGAGGGGTAGCGGAGAGACTGCTCCTGAGGAATCATCATCCGAAAGGGCGCGCGCGCTTGTGTGTGTGTGTGTGTGGGGGGGGGGGGGGGGTCGTTGTTCTACTTAATTATGCATTCATTGGTTAATTCCTGGATGTGCCCTTTGGGTATGAAGACAACACTCTAGCTATCCGGCCAGCGCCTCAATTCAATTTTCAATAGCTTCAATAAAGAATAAAATATTTAGGAATTAATTCAACCAAGTAGTTGCAATACTTATACACTGGACTACAAAATATTACTGGAATTAAAGTAGACCTAAATGAATGGAATGACATTCTGCGTTCATGATATTTTCAAGATGGCAATAATACCCAAAGTGATCTGCATATCCAATGCAATCCCTATGCAAAGCTCAATGGCTTCTTTCTTTCTTTTTCTTTCTTTCTTTCTTTCATTCTTTTTGGCAGAAATTTATATGGAATTGCAAGGGACAAATTTGAGACAGAGCAAAAGTAATTTTGAAAAAGAAAAACAAAGTTGGAATATTCACACCTCCCAATTTCAAAACATACTACAAAGCTACAGTAATCAAAACTGTGGAATTGACAGAAAGACAGACATATATTCTAAAAATGAAAAAGCTACAGCTAACATCATATTCAATGGTGAAAGATTGAAAGACCAGAAACAAGATAGTAAGGAAAGGCCACGCTGGCTCCGAGAGCCTGGCAGTCTGAGGTCTTCCTTCACACTAAGGTTTCTACTTTTCGCCCCTTTTCATCCATCTTCAGACGTGACTTTTGACATTTTATTACCTGAGATCTGCACGTGTCTTACAATCCGCTGTGCGTACTCTTACTTTTATTTTTAAGCAATACACGAGTCTCGGAAACAACGCTGTCTTTGATTCCACGAAAGTGCGTTTACATTTCTAGTCATGTGTTTGTATCTGATATTTGATGACTGCCTCCCCCCCCCCCCCACCCGCTCTACCCCTCGCAGGGTGCCCCATAGGTGCTTAGTGATTATTGACCAAATAAATGAGCGAATGGAAGAAACTACTTTTTTTTTTAACTGAGCCCTGGCTCTGACACTTGCTGGCAGTTTGAAACAGGAAAGGCCACGCACCTCGTTCAAGCTCCGTGTTCCCGGTTCACAAACCGGCTGTAATCACAGCGGGTAGCAGGCGCGAGGCTCCTCAGGGAAGCATCCGCCAAGGCCGTGCGCTCAGGGCCTGCGAACTCGCTCCTGAAAACTCCAACCCAATAAAAAGGCAGGAACAGGCATTGGGTTATTAAAACCCTTTATTACCAATGTATAAATTCAGATATAAAGGGGAGTTTAGGGGAAGGGAAAGATCTGCTAGCGAAGAAGCGGCTTACAATGTTAAAAAGCGCTATTTGATAAACTGCAGCTAACAAAGCGGGAAGAATTGGGGGGTGGGGGAGGTCAGTGGTCACGGCGTCCTGCTGTGCCTCTGGCTTTCAATGGTTCTTTCAGCCGCGGGTTTCTGCAGAGGGCAGAAAGAAAAAAAGACATTAGAAATCAGGAATCAAAAGTATACGACCCATTCCTCTTTTTCTTGCAGGCCTGCACCAGGTATTCAGACAGTTATGGACAAGGATAGCTTCGTCTGCATGTACACCTCCTCTCAGTATCAACCAACTCTGGGCACAGGGTCTGTCCGTGGAGTGGGGACCTTGCCAGCAGCCACCATCCCTCCCCTCCCAGCCTCCCAGATCTCGCAGCGCGTCCACCCGGCTGGCCTCTCTGGGCTCCCCCCCCCCCCTCCTCGATCCGGAGCACCTGCAAGAGGAAAGCCGGGTAAGTTACAGGCGCCCAGGGCTTGTCACACTGGACGCCAGGAGCAGAAATATCAAGACGCTGCCTCGCCCTTCGCACGTCCCCAAACATCTCTGGCGCCTGATGCTGGCGGAGAGACTCAGCAAACTCTCCTAGAGGACCCCTGGGAGCCTTGGGCTCCAGTCCTACTGTCTTCCTCCACAGGTCCCCCTCCCAAACCACCTAATGGCTTCCTAAAGTTTCTAGAACAAAATCCGCATTCTGACCAATCATCCTTTCTTTGACCTAGAGAGACCCTACGATTATCTGGCTCCTGCCCTCCTCTCTGATCGAGTTGTGTACACGCCCCAAGCCCTCCGCCTTTCCATCCTCTTGACCCGCCATTCATTTTGCCGCATTCTTTGCACTTGAGAGTTCCTCTGTCTCTAGCGGCTATTTTTGTCCGCATCCGTCAGGTTCCCAGAGCACTCTCCGATAGCCACCCCCTCCTAGTCACACTTCATTCTTAGCCATCACATTGGTTTTACAAACTCATTCCTAGAATACATTGTTACAGTGTTTAAAGTCTGTTTCCTAGACTGTAAGCTCTATGAGGGCAGGGCTCCTGTTCTGTTTCCTTCAGTTCTGTGCCCTACCTAGAAGGGGTCTGATCACACAATAGGCTCTCAGTTAAAGGGGGAAGGAAGGGAGGGAGGGAAGTGGAGGGGAGGCGAGAAGGAAGGGCGTGTGTGCTTGGCTTACAAGTCTTGGCTTTGGTTATAAACGGTCACTCAATTTTCATTTGTCTGCGGCCCAGTTAAATCATTGAATTCTCTTCCGCTGTTCCCAACTCTTGCTCCTGCGACTGGGCCCTCGACCTCTGGACCTCTGCGGAGTCTGGGACTTAAACTTCAATTGGAGAAGCGAGAGGGTAGGCAGGTTAAAGGAGATCTCCCGCCCCCTGGTGCCCGAGGCGCTGCACTCAGGCTCCCCTGAGGCCCAGGAAGCCTAGTGCCCACCCAGTTCTGAGCCCATCGGGTAGATTTCAGTATTTCCAAAGCCAATGTTTCATTTAAATATCCGTGCTCACTTCGAATATTGCTTCATATGTGTGCTTTTTAAAAATATATTTTTATTGATTTTTTTTTTTTTTTACAGAGAGGAAGGGGGAGGGATAGAGAGCTAGAAACATCGATCAGCTGCCTCCTGCACGCCCCCCACTGGGGATGTGCCTGCAACCAAGGTACATGCCCTTGACAGGAATCGAACCTGGGACCCTTGAGTCCGCAGGCCGATGCTCTATCCACCGAGCCAAACTGGTTTTGGCCATATACGTGTTTTCATAAAATGGTTCCCCCTTCAGGAAAAAAGTTGGACCTGGAGCTTTAGGCGGGCAGGGGGGGAGGTCGGGGCTGGGGAAAGGCTTTGTGGTGGTAGAATGAGCGGGGAAGAACGACACATCCACCCGCCTCTCTGAGCGATCTCTCCAGTGCCAACGGAAAGCTTGAGAGGGAAAAGCTTCAGAAAGGGTCTCCTTCCGGGAGTGCGCGGCAAACCCCACGGGGCGGGCGGCTGCGGCCGCGGCGAGGGTTGGAGAGGTCTCTATCCCAGATGCTTCCAGAGCCCCTGGGGGAGCTCTGAAAAGCCCCATCAGCTTAGGCTTGAAGCGCAGGGGCGGACTGAGTATCATTTTGCAACCGGGGCCGGGAGCCAGGAAGGACAGATCTCTGCCAGAGGATGCGGGTCGCGACTGCAACTGGTTTTGGAAATCCCAAGGTTGGTCCCGCGACTTGGGAAGGAAGGGAGGGCTTGGGAGCTTACTTGCACACCTTAGGGTTGGCAGTTTACTCGATGTTCAAGTAAACTGGGGCCTAATAAATCATTTAATTCTCTTCCGAGGCTCCCAGTTCTGACTCCTGTGATGGGCTCCGCGCCCTAAGCGGCGTTGTCTCCTCTGACGCAAGCTTCCCTGGGAGGAGCGCCGCTCCCTGGGTGCGCCAGAGACTCGGAGTGTCGGCCTTGAGCTGCGGGGAGGCTGAGTGTTTTGGAGAGTGGGGGGCAGGGTTCATGGAAGGGGTTTTGACCTGCGGAAGTCCATCGATCCGGATACCGAGACCCAAGGCTCCGCTCTGCTTCGGCCAACGTTCTCTCTGATAAAGGAGAGTGCTGGGCTGCGGACGCTCTCTCAGTTCACTTTCTTATATTTATTTTTTTTAAAATATATTTTATTGATTTCTTACAGAGAGGAAGGGAGAGGGACAGAGAGTTAGAAACATCGACCAGTTGCCTCTTGCACACTCCCCACTGGGGATGTGTCCGCAATCAAGGTATATGCCCTTGACGGAACCGCACCTGGTACCCTTCGGTCCGCAGGTTGATGCTCTATCCACTGAGCCAAACCGGTTAGGGCTCCTAGTTCACTTTCTTACATCGGCCATCTCACCTGCAGAACCTTCTCTGCGCAGGTACCCAACGACGTACCGGTGGCCCCGCTCCTCAGCCAGGTCCACGGGCAGGCGGCCCCAGGCATCGCGCACATCCAGCCGCGCCCCGGCTCGGTGCAGCGCCACCAGCGTGTCCAGGAAGCCCTCCCGGGCGGCGTCGTGCACGGGCCGCGTGAGGGTGGCGGGGTCCGCGCAGTTGGGGTCCGCGCCGTGGATCAGCAGCAGCTCGGCCACGCGGGTGCTGCCCATCATCATGACCTGCGGGCGAGAGAATGGTCAGGGAGAGGGCAGGCGGAGGCGGCGAGGCAGGGTTAATTAATTTAAAAGAAAGTTGTGACAGACAACTCTACAAGCCACGGATGCTTACTCTTTATTTGCCGTCAGTTACCAACTCTCTTAGCCAGTTCTCCTACCTGTTCCATTTTTCTGTACACATTGAATTCCCATTATAGTCTCCAACCTTTTGCAGAATTCCAGCCACACACAGAACACTGCTGGAGGCACAGACAACAGCAAAAGAGGGACAAACTTGCCTAATCTCCTGTAGCTCTGCCCCCCCCCTCCATTTTGATCTAAAATTATGTAAGACCCAGAGACTTGGTATGGTTCACTGCTGTATATACAAGCCCTTGTTAAAATGGAAAAATAGCCCTAGCTCGTTTGGTTCAGTGGATAGAACCGTTGACTTGCAGACTGAAATGTCCCGGGTTCGGGTTAGATTCTGGTCAAGGGCATGTACCTTGGTTGCCGGTGCATCCCCAGTGGGAGGTGTGCAGGAGGCAGCTGATCTATGTTTCTCTCTCATCAATGTTTGAAATTCTCTATCCCTCTCCCTTCCTCTCTGTAAAAAATCAATAAAATAGCCCTAACCGGTTTGGCTCAGTGGATAGAGCATCAGCCTGCGGACTCAAGGGTCCCAGGTTCAACTCAAGGGTCCCAGGTTCAACTCAAGGGTCCCAGGTTCGATTCTGCTGATCGATGTTTCTAACTCTCTATCCCTCTACCTTCCTCTATGTAAAAAATCAATAAAATATATTTTAAAAATCAATAAAATATATTTTTAAAAAAGATGTCCACTTTCTATCATTCTAAAGCTGTGAATATATTACCTCTCATGGCAAAAGGAACTTTGCGGGTGTGATAAAGATTTGGGGGGGAGATGAACCTGAATTGCCAGGATGGGCCAACTGTACACACATTTCCTGATAAGGGAATCACAGCTGAGAAAGAGTGTATAACAATGAAAGCAGAGAGAAGAGGCAGGGCTCATCCCAGAACACTGATGGTCACTGGAAGTTGGAAAACGCAAGGAAATGGATTCTCCCTTAGAGCTTTCAAACGAATTACTTATTTTAGTTACATTCTGTATTTAACACAAATTACTTGTCCAAACCAAGATGCCATAAGTTACACTATGGTTTGTTTTTTTGTCCTGGAAAAAGTGAAACTGATTTAATTCTCAAAAAGAGAGAAAATGTAAGTGAATCAAATTACAGCTCAAAAAAAAAAAGAAGAAGAAGAAGAAGAAGAAGAAAACTATTGCAGTGCAATAGAACAATGCACTTTTATAAAATAAAAACTGGGAAGGCTTTCACACGATTACTATATTTACCCAATGAAGTCCTTCATCAGTTAACTGGTTTTAAATGTTTTTATTATATTAGCATTAAAGGCTGAACAGTAGCCTAACATTTAAATCATAATAGCAATCCCATGGGGAGGGGGGCAGGGAGAGAAAGAAATCCATTACAGAAACATTTCTAGGGTGCTTAAATACATTTGTAAAAACATTAAATTTAATTTAGTAGTTAAAATGTTTTTCTATCAACTAAGTATTTCTATATTATACACACATTTGATTAGGGTCCTAAACCAAAATCATATTCCCTTTTCTCTATGTTCTCATCCTCCCCATTAAAAAAGTTAAAACTAATTATCCAATTTACTTTCTTCTTTTTATATAATAGGTCTCTAAAATATTCCAGAGCTCCAAGGCTAAACTCCAAGTTTCCAAGCTGCTGGTGATATTTTAGAGATATTAAATTATGAATCAGGCAAGCATTATTTTGAAAGGACACATGCTTCTACAATTCTCAACCTCTTTCGATTAAAATTCTCTCCACGTGTCAAGTCCCAGATAACCCCAGGTTTCAGGCACTTTCATTTTATTTTTATATATGAATTTTAAGTATAAAATTTATCCTATTAGCAGTTTCAGCAAAGGATGATTTACTTGTGAAGTTCCAAGTAAAGTTACTTTCCTTTGTCTTGTTATGCTGGAGTTTTTGCAATATGTATTTGTTTCATATACATTTTATTTTCAGCATCAGAAATCATTGTCAACACTGGAAATTAAAACCACGATGGTGACTGTCAGGAAGAATTCATTTTGTTTTTTGTTTTTTTGGTTTGTTTTTTTTTTAAGCCTGAGATTTAGAAAGTTAATGAAGGCCAACAACAAAAACCTGACCCGCCCCACCCCCACACAAACCAACAACAAGAAACTGGAGTGGGGAGAGGAGAAATGACACTTCTCAGCATTGAGGAATTGAAAACTCTACTTCCAATATTTTCATCTAAAGCAAGCAAGTTAACAATAGCAACAATAACAGTAGATACCACTAACATGATGATTCAATTGGTATTTCAGGGGCGGTTTCACTAATGTTCTTCATATATGTCTGCATTTTCTAAATTCTTATAATCATCTATTGTAAAGCAAGCCTTTCCTTGTACATTAAGTCCTTGTACCTTAAGTGGTTACATCTGAGAATCTCAATTTGATATTTATTGCAACATACACAGCAGATTTCCACTGAAATCCCTTCGAGGGAGGAAAATGACCACCGGTCAGTTCCTGTCGGAGGCCTGTGAGTTCAGGGCTAAGCGATCCGAGCTAATCTTACATTTCTCTAAAACTGGACGTTTTACACACCAAACGTTTGAAAGTTTTGTACTTGATAAAGAATATATTTTTTTAAAGAATGTAGCTTGGTCTATATTAACATACACCGTTTCTCCCTCCGGATTCTGCACCCCTTCTGCTTCCTCATTCCTCCCTCGGCTCCCTGAGCGCCCGGGCGCCGGGCATCACCCCGGGGAGACGCCGCACTCCAGCCGGAACGCCGGGGATGTCGCCCCTTTACCGGGATCGAAAGGCTCTACCTGGTTCCGACCCCCTTGCGAACCTAGTTTCCCGAAGTCGTTCACCACCCCTCTGCCCGCGGCAGACGCGACCACCCACCTGAATGGGGGTCCGGCCGTGACTGTTGGGGGCGTTGGGCGATGCCCCCGCTTGGAGCAGCGCCTGCACCTCCTCGGCGCGACCCCCGGCCGCCGCCGCGGCCAACCTGTCGGCCGAGCGCTCCATGCGGCTCCCCGGCGCCCGCCCCTCGCTCTCCTCCTCCCCGGCGCCCGCCCAGCCTCGCGGAAGCCGCCCCCCTCCCTCTCCTCCTGCGGTGGCGGAAGCGGCTTCTCCTCTCCTCTCCTCTCCTCCCCTCTCCGCTCCAAAACGTGTAGTCACTCCCACTCCCTGCAAACGTGCCACCCCCGACGGCACCCACGCGGGCAGCGCCGGAGCCCCAGCCCTAGGCAGTCCGCACCCGGCGCCCCACGAAGCCTGGGGGGGAGGGAGCCCGGACTGCTGCCACCTGCCCCACCCGGAGCCCCCACTCCCCTCGCCCTCCTACTCCCCACCCCCCGCCCCCGCTCCGGAAACCTCAAGGGCGCCAAACGTTGGAGCCAGTTCACTCTATTCAAGCGAAATGGCGAAATGTCCTTCTTCCGAGGGACAACCTCGCTTGTCCAAAGTCATCAGGATTCCCACTGCCCGATGCGGGTGTTCAGTGTTATGGGCAAAGTACTGCCATCTCTTCTAATGAGAGGAAAAGGCTCCTTCCTCTTTGCTGGAGCCGGAGGATCTGCACCCCCCCCCCCCCCCCCCCCCCCCCGCCACTGCACAACACGAGGCGACCTTCTTAGGGCACACTCTCCCTCCTCCCCTCCACCTGTGGGCTTCTCGAGATCAAACGCTCATTTTGGAGTCCGCCTGCCCGCCTGTCCCCCTTCCCCCAGCACACACGTGTAAAACAGGTGTGTGTGTGTGTGTGTGTGTGTGTGTGCGCGCGCGGACGGGGGGCGGGGGGTCCCCGCATTGGTGCTTGCCCCAATGCGGTCTATTTAACAGGGATGCTGGAGATTTCTGTCTAGCAGGCAGATGGGAAAGTGATCGACTCCATTTTAAATAAATTCCTCCTAGACCAGAAAATGTCCTCAGGCCTCTATGGGAAGAGCTGCACAGTGATTCAGAGAGCAAGTCCACACGTTGTGGAGCTTATCCGGCTCCTCTCTGTCCCCCTACACCTCTCCTTCCAAACTGGAAAAACCTTATGGTTTTCTTAGCCATAAGATGGAGGGCTAAGAGTGGTCCCTGCTTCATAGGGCTGTGTTTTAAATGAATTAACGTACATATAAGCACTTAGAACAGCACCACACATTCTAAGCTAATACCTCTTAGCCTCCTCCCCCTCCCCCTCCTCCCCCTCCTCCTTCTTCCTGTCTCTCTCTCTCTCTCTCTCTCTCTCTCTCTCTGTCTCACTCTCTCCACATCAGCAATGGGGCAGACTTTTATTTAAAAGGCTAGTGTTCAAATACTATTGCTCAAATAGCTCGGTAGATAGAAATGCAGTACGATCTCAGGGTTGTATACATAAGCACAGGAGCTGAAGGCCAACTCACACAGGGATATTTAATCCTCTGCTGCTGGAGTAACCTCATGGGCGTGTCTGGACCATACTCCCAACACACACACACACACACACACACACACACACACACACACACACACACTGCTCTTTGCCTGGCAACAGAACATGAAACATTCGCTTAAGTTACTGAACTTGAGCAAAATCGCTGCAGAGCACAACTGGAAGGGCTTCTTCACTATCTATCTACCTGGCCCAGTTTAAAAGATGTTTGTAGCTCTAGTTTGTACACATTTCATAGGTATTTTGAACAATAAACCATCTATTGTCCCATTATTTTTAAAATGGCAGTTCTTGGAGTGCAAACAAGGCATTAAGATATTCTCAGATGAAGATACATTAAGGAGTACTCCTGAAAGTTAGGCAAACCTAGTTCTTTTTTACTGAAACAGTAGCATCAAGTAGACTGTCTATTGTGAAGAATAGTTTCATTTGCTTCCCCATGAGGCCAACTTTTTCTGAATTGATATAATTTTAAAACTAAGATGATAAAAAATAAAACATACACCTTAAGATACTATAAAACTTGAAATAATGTCAAGTTAAACTCCCCCCCACACACACATAATTATGGAATGGAATAGTTCTGATCCGCCCCCCAAAAAAGGACACTGTAACAGGGTCTAAGGGAAAAATAAACCAGAACTCTGAATATTTATAGCACTACACAGACTTGTTAGCACAGAATACCACACAAGAATGTGTCACACAGAAATATCGTGAGAGTAACTAGCTGGGGACTTACACTTTCAGCAACTGAACTCCTAGGTAAAAAAAAAAAATATGTTAAACCTTGTAATATCAACAAGGCCCCCTTACCTCAAAAAGGAGTAAAGACTGCATGTATGGGTCTATTACAGACACGATATTCAGCAGATAAAAATAATACCCTCCACAGTCCCACAACTGGGGGGCGAAACCCATTTTTCACTGCTAAACCTGCGAAAGATTAAGAGAGTGAAACAAACTCACCTGTAACTATGGCATCTCCTACATTTGAGTGACAAGTATGTCCAACCTGATGCTATATGTTTGAACATTGAGAATGGAAACAAAAGGCAAAATGATGATCCTTAAAACATGAAGAAAAAACCCCAACACATGATTTAAAGGCAAGTAGGTGTGATTCTGATTATTATTATTATTATATATGACATAATCCACAGAAAGAAAGGCCAAGAAAGTCATCTTCATTTTGTTTGGTACTAAGGCTTGATGTTGTTCTAGGTAAAAGTGATAATTCAATGAAGGTGTCACACATGCAACTGAAAGAGCTGGGTTGTCTAGGCCCTTCTGGTTTCAAGTGAATTTATTTAACAACCAACCGTCGTCCTTGACTAGCTTTTCTCCTGTGTCAAACAAACCGATGTACAGGACCAGTTTAAATCCCTTCTCCCTTTCAAACACTGGATATGAGCATCCAGGAACTTCTACTACAGTGCAAAGTGCCTTAAGAAAGAGAAGGGTTCTGTAGTGTCACTGACATAACTAATCTGAGGAGGCTGAGATGCAATTAACGCTGATGGGAGCCAGGCAGTGGTAGTTTGTTTCTCCTCAAGTTTCTCCGACAACTGCATGGTCAGTTCATGGAGGGGTTTGCAGAAAATCAAACACGTGGTGGCAGGAGATGGCACCATCAGAGTGCACAAAGCCCCCATCTGTATCCAGGAGTGAACGCTGCCCAACTTTGGCAGGGAAACCTTGAGGAGTTGGTTAACCTTGGCATTTATTTTTATTTTTATATTTTGCTTCAAAGAGTTGGGCTTCTCACCTGTAAGTAACAACCCCAATATAATGATTTTGGCCTGTGGCTGCCTAGTGTCGATAAGTTGTAGAATTCCACCTGCTACTTCTGCTATATTTTCATGGTTCCTACCCAGACAACAAAGACCAGGTTTAATATTCTCCAGTTCTCCATTCTTTAGCTCCCACAAAACATGTATCTCCTCCAATTCCAAAATTCAGTGCCTGGAGTGGGGAGGGGGTGGGGGAGCTCTCGCCCTGTGTCATATCGCTGCATTAACTGCAGCATGGAGTCCCCCACAAACAGCACATCAGGCTCTTTGTCTTCACAGTCCAGGACAAATCCGTTGTGCTGAGTCATCCATCTGTCATCTCCTGCCTGTGGAATGGCTGCTGGGTTTGAGTCTCCTTGACTCATCCCACACTCAGGCAGAGGGTCCGTACAGGCACAATCTGGGGGTGGCGCATCGGTCAAGCTCCCCCAGCCCAGGGATCCCCACTCCGGGGCTGGGTGCCATACCTTTTAACTCTTAACATCCATTTTGAGGATTCTCTTGCAATCTCGTGAAGCACAGAGAAGAAAGTGCTTTGAATAGAATTATCAATATTATATGAAAGGGAAGGTCAAGAAGACCTTAATCACTGAAAAGATGGTGGACACCTTCCACCTCCACCTTCACCCTCATGTTTAATGAAAAATTAAACAGAAGTAAGAGTATCACAAGCAAAAGAAAATCCAACAAAGTCTAATTTTTCCTGTGGTTGTAACTTTTACGCTTTAAAAACATGTATTTTTTTTTAATGGATTGCTCAGGCTTTGCTGATGCCTGAAGCAATGCTTAATCTGCCTACTAGATAACCCAGCTTTCAATCTCCTGTTGACTTCTCTTGAAGACCCAGGATATCTGACTATACTTTTCAATCAACTGCTGTTAGCTTAGGCAAATCATAAAGTGTTAAAATTATGCCAACTGACGGTGGTGGCTTGCGGGAGAGTTTATGACGAGAAACGATGTCTTGGATAATTTCTTTACAAGTGCAGGAAGCCTTTGAAAGGTGAAGATGTGACACAAACTATGGGTCAGAGAAGGCAGTTCTATAGATGGTTTACACAGAAATGACTGAAGTAAGCAGCTTTCTGAAGATGGATTGTGATTTGAAAAGAACACTTCTTAGTGGTAGTTCCCCAAGCTCAGATCACAGATCGCGCAGAATCACCAAGGAGTGCTTGTTAAACCCACACGTTCTCCAAGTCTACAGAGTAAGGCTCTCTGGGGGATGCACCTGGATACTGCAGCTTTTACAAGTTTCCCAGGAAAATTTTAAACACATTGGAGCCCTAGAGCAGTGGTTTTTAGACCATTTTTTTTAAGGTCACAGGCTCTTAATCTTGGGCAGGGGTACATTGTCTTTAAGAAACTGTTGAAAGTTGTAGACCCTCTCCTCAAAAAATAAAGCATGCAATAAGTTAAAAACTTTAATTGAATTTATTGGGGGTAACAGTGGTTAATAAAACTATATAGGTTTCAGGGGTACAATTCTATAAAACATCATCTAAGTATGCAATCATTTTTTAAGGTGTGTCTTTGTGCACATGTATTTCTAAACGTAATTTTCAGGGAATTCAGAAACTCCTCTAACATTCAAGTATGGATTCCTAAGTCAAGAACTCTTTAAGCTGTTGTGCAATATATTGGACTGTATGTAGCTCAATGAAATGTGATGCAACCATATAAAAACATCTCTTAGCTGCAGTATATACAGACATGGAGGATCCCACTGCTGGTTATGCCAGCCTCAGGCTTCTCATGTGTGAAATGGAATCATAATCTATGTCATGGATTGATAAAAAAAGATTATGTATGTCAAAGAGC